GTAATTTGTACGGTACGCGTGCAATGCGTCACTCTCTCTCTCTCTCTCTCTCTCTCTCTCTCTCTCTCTCTCTCTCTCTCTCTCTCTCCCATCCTCCAAAACTTTCATTACGCAACGCACTATGGTACACACACCACCCCAATGAAGGACATACTACAGAAGGAATCGATGCAACTTGAAGAACCCAAACACATTCTACCACACCCATTTTCACAATTGTCTCTTGCGCATTCAATTTGCCTACAATCATGTGGAGACATGGATCGAGCACATAACACCATGTAGGCTACTACCTCAGAGAGGTCAAGGGTTTAAAAGTTTATCTGAAGGAAAGAAACCCCCCTACACAAAACACATCATGGTTGCTACCTCAACGAGGACAACAAATGCACTGGCCGCAATTACCCGACAAAATCAGAAAAGTAGGAAGGGACTCTTTTGCAGTCCCCTCAAAAGATGGTTGTAATTGCAAATATAGCCTCCTCGGAAAGAGTCGAAAACTGTAGTTCGACAAAACAATGTCCCCAACACATTCCCAAACACACTTCTGCATTGACAACTACCCACCAAATTCACAGACGCATCCCGTCCACTGACGAGTATCATCCAATCCACAACATGCCCACTCAAGGAATTGCCAGAAAGAGGACTCAATGACCGATCCTCCTCCGCAGCCATCGACCTGCCCCGTCAAATGTTGAAGAGAACCCCTTTTTTTTTTTTTTTTTTTTTTTTTTTAAACTGCTTGGGTCACTAGGCGGTGCCGTGCTGTCGGCGCTATGAAGAACAAAAAGTAGACTCGCCTCTACAGTAGTGACAGGAGAAACCATCACCTGACTTTGAGGGCAGAAGGTCTTTTCAAATTTTCTGAACACAGTTTTGGTTGTGCGGAGAGCCAGCAGCGAAAATGTCTCCGGACTCTTTTCTTAGCAAACCAAAAAAAGAAAAAGAAAGGTGCGCAGTCTCATGTCCTGTGTGCAGTCACCGCTGCCAGCAACAATGAAAAGCCTTCAACGAAACAGAGGGGTTGTTTTGTGCCATCCACGGTCCGCTGGAACTGACGGACATGGGATGCACAATGGCACAGAGGAGTTCTGTCCACCGCCATGTCATCCACGTTGTCCTTCAACAAAACACAACCCCATCACTAAAATGACAAAAAAATATGCCATGCCCTTGAAGCTAGCGAGTAACTTGTGTTTTAACCACCCCTGCCACCTCTCTCTCTCTCTCTCTCTCTCTCTCTGAACTGTCAGTATCACCTTCCGCTGAGAATGAGCAACTCCTTTGCCAAAGGACACCGATTATCACTAATTGGCCTGATTCTCCTCACTAACGCCCTTCGTTTGTGCCTCAACATCGTCCGCAATTAAAATCGGTGTCCCCTTCATTTGTGTGTCAACATCGTCTGCGATTAAAGTCGGTTCAGTCGGTCCAGAGATTGGGGATGCAACAACATCATCTTCGATCAAAACTGGTTCGGAAATTCCTTCACTCGCACCTGCATTTCTCCTAATATTATCACCATCGTCGACAACACCTCCGTCCTGCTCTGCCTGCTGCACATCTTCAGCCACAGAACGCTCCCTCCGTCTTCCTGTCCAAACCTTGTCGCATTCCGATACATCAACCGTGGTGTCAATCGCCGCCGAGGAAGGTGGACTCGGTTCCACTGCTCGCTTAGCATCAGTCGAAATTGTGATGCCCCACTGTTTTGGGTCTTCATCATCCGAATCGGAAAGACAAACAGGGACAACCATTTTAAAAAGTCCGGAGCCATCTTTAGACGTGTGTCTACAGAGAATCTCACCGTGCAAAACATCTGCGCTGCAACCACCACCGGAGGCACCCGCCTCTGCAGCACTGCCACCACCGCTATCCGAGGTCTTGCCAGCAGTTTCTGGTCTCTGCTGGGACAAAAGGGCCTTTGCATCACCACCCTCGGAACGGCGGACAGCGCTGACCGTCTCCGTGCACCTTAAATCATCTTCCGCAGTATCTCTGCGGAGAACCTCACCCTTGGAAACATCTGCGGCATTGCCGGCATCACCGGCGGAAACCCCGACCTCTACAGTGCTGTCATCACCCGTGCCGACCTTATTAGATGCCATTACAAGCCCGCCAACGTCTCCGTCACTACGACCATGAGGTGGCAGAGGCTTATCAGCAGCGACGAGTTTGCCTTCAAGGACATTCATCGCTTCCGTAGCACGAAGATCAACCGACGAAGGCCTAACTTCTTCTGCGGCTTTCGGAATGCCCTCTGCTCCTAGCACTCGGCCTTGACTGCCGCCCCACTCCTCTCCACGACCGGGTTCCTTTGTCTCATGAGCTGCAGCAGCAGGGGGCCGCGGCTGCCTTCGCCTCATGAACATTGCCGCGTACACGTCGCCGAGGCCCTCGTGAATCTTCGAGGCGTGAAATTGCAGGCACTTATGGTAGGAGAAATCAACTCTTGAGCCATCCTCCTGCACTACGAAGAAGCAAGTGTTCTTTCCTTGATGCTGGGAGTTTTGATCATCTTTAACTTTAGGGGAGATGTCAACCTGCAACAAAGTCGGGCGAAGAGGATTTCAGGTTCTTTTCGCCGCACATCAGAATGGAAGAGACCTTCCCCAAAAAATCGACCTCCTCGGAAGCATTATCCAATTCCTATCCCCATCCTCCCCCCACCTCGATGTGGGCACGTAATACCTGTCTCTTATACACATCTAGATGTGTATAAGAGACAGCTACCATACTATCTCATGCTACAACTGTTTTCCTTAGCAAGATCACTTTAAATCATATAGACCCAAGTGCATGACCGCCCACACCACCGGTGACC